TTCAGACGAAATCAGAAGGCAACAACCAGCTCTGTTATTATAAGCATCGCTTCGATGAATTCAGATAAAAATCTCCTTTGCCAGTATCAAAACCGTGGCACCCTTCAAAAGACCGAGTCAATGCCCAAGGTTGCATCAAGTTACTAATCTCACAGCCCGGAGAGCATTGTAAAAGGAAGGTTCTTCCGAGTTCCTGTCACTAAACCATACTATCGCCACTGAGTCCATTTGCCAGATGGTTTTATTGTTGTGGTTTGGTTTGGTTTGGTTTGTACAAATACATGGGAGCCGGCAGGGCACTGGATGTGGCTGGAACTGGCTTCCTCAGGCGGAGGTGTGGCCCCGGCCAGGACAGCCTGCACCTGCCGGGCAGGGAGGACAGAGCACCTGCCGGGGGCGACACACAGCCTTGGGACAGAAGGTGCTCACAGCCGCCGGGGAGCCTCATCCGGCACCGAGTACAGGAGAGTCAGAGAACCTGATCTCGGACACCTGTCCCCTTGGTTCGTAGATAATCACACGTAAAACTTAGCACGACGCACTGCACGTGTGGTCTCTCCCTTCTCTCTCTAAATAAACGGTTTGGAAGGGGTGACTGCCACGCCTTCATTCCTGCTGTGCCTCAAGGTGTGAAGGGGACCCGGTGACTCAAGATCCCCAAGCCTCCTGGATGGCAGAAATGGCAGAAGGGCTGTGGGAGCTGGGAGTGACTTTCAAAATGGGACGGTTCCACCTCCAAGCCAAGTGCTTTTATCGAGGAAAAACAGTTACTTTACTTCAGAATCAACATCTTTACACTACCCATTGTTCCTCGTTGAATGCTTCCTTTATGCAATCTTCCACTGATATCCCCTCCAGAGAAATGTTTAATAAAACAAACAAACAAAGGGAAGAACGCAAGGCGTGCTGAGACTTAAGTTACAAAATTACAATGTGCTTTGTGGAAAGCCTTCCGGCTTCCAGGCTCAGGAGCTGGCGGGCATTAGCGGCAGCTTCTCACTCGGGCAATGCCCAGAGTCCCATCTTTGTGACGCCTGCTGTGACGTCTTTCACATAAAAACACTGTGGAAGGCATGCAGAGTTGGGCCGTGGATCTCACACATTTTGTATGACATTTCAGAAGTGTCACTTCACATTCGGTCACAGTCCCTGTCAGTCACACTCACCGCCCTTCCCAGGTCACGCAGCATCAGCATTTAAACTAAGAATCTGCTTAAGCCGAAGAGTTGGCTAATCAGGAAACCATTCCGACTCTATGACACTCGGGGCTGACTGTGCTCAAGGGGCTCAGTGCTTCCAGTGAGGCGTCGGCCACGAAGAGGGCGTTCATCCAACATTCGTGTGAGTATCAGAACACACAAGGATTGTTTCACATCATTCTTGCACACATTCTGAAAGTTTCGTTAGGGTTCTGTCTGGTCTTGTACAATAGCAGTATGTGTATCTTTATGAGTGATCAGTAGGGTATATGATGACATCAATATAATCGTGCAAACTCTTCTTTTTGGTTCTTGTCATCTCTGCCTGCAGAAAATAAGATCGCATCCCCAAATCTCAGTTAGATAAGACCACCTGGATGACCTAGTCTTCTCCTGCGGTCACCTGCCCCGGAGGCACAGGTGAGTGAAAGCCCCGCCTCTCTAGGTTCCATAAATATGTAACCTTGAGCAAATCATTTCATCTCCCCGGGCCTCGGTGTCCTTCTTTTTAAAACGTGGCTAGCAATACCTACTTCCAAGATCTGTTGCGAGTGTGAACAGGTGAAGCACTAACACATGTGCCACATAGTAAATCGCAAGCAAATAACGCTGCCATAGTGTGCAATGATAATGATTAGGAGGAAGAGAGAACGGTTGCAAAAATACTGCAAACGAGACCAATCCATGAAGTGTGATGAGGCTGATCAGTTCCAGTTTGGGAACAAGTACTGGTAATGTAACAAACCTAGAGCACGTGTTACTTACGCGACTAGACAGAACCGTAGTGGTAAGAACAGGAGTGGGAATAAAGTGAGGGAACAGGAAGGAGCTGCTAGGCACCAAGAAAAGGGCGCCTTCCCGTGTCCATTCAGGAAAATAATTCCAAGTGCAAAGCCAACTTTCTGAGTCGGACCAACAAAGATCGGTCCACCAAAAAGCAGAGTGCAGGACCTGTCCAGTCAAAGGCCAAGTCCACTTCCTTCAGGTGACGGCCTCGGAGGTGGGGCGCTCTCCCGGGCTGGGGGAGGCCGTGGAACCCGCGGCACAGGAGGAGGAGAAAGGGGGCTCGTGGGTCGGGCTTTGCTCAGCCTGCCCTGCGCCCTCAGGCCTCACCAAATTCTCCTACCTCTGCGACCATATGCAAACCCATCAGATTACCTTTCTAAGTATCAGTTTTGCTCCGATAAAAGACACCAAAAGGTGCACGTCTACACGTGCCCCTTCGCACACTCAAGCGTGTGTGCTGAGGCCTACGACGTGCATTCTGGCAGCCCAGAGGCCCAGGGTCGGCTCCGCTGGGCTCATGGACATCCCCTATGCCCGATGGTGACGGCGATCGAATCTTTATTGGAACTGTTTGTACACACTCTTTCTTCCTGGTAGAGCATACACTCTTGACAGGGAAGGGCCACATTTTAGTCACCCTGTTTCCCTGGGCACTTAACAGAGTGCACCACTCACACGGAACGGCTCGGTAATGACACACCAAACTCAACCGCCCTCCAGGACGCACCGACGGGAGAGCCCAGGCGCCCTCCCCTGAGGTCTTCGGGTTTTCAGATCAGTTGCCTGAGGCAGCTACCCTTTCTAAATCTTCCTAGTAATGGGATATGAAGTGAAATGTTTCAAGCATGGTCTGCAAAATGTTTCTATTGACCCACTTTAAACTCCAGGAGGATAAGCAACAAAAGAACGCACTCAGAGAATCGATGCAAGATCCCCCCACCCCCACCCCGGTGTTTTCCGTGCAGGCCAGTGCGTGTCCCAGTGCCCACGCTCCCGAGTTAGGGGTCAAGCACAGGTTCGGACGTGGTCTTAACAGACGGCCCCCTGCTGCCGTGAGTGAGCAAAGGACTGCCACCCCGGCGCTGTGCCCCAGCAGACAGATCCAGCAACGCTACTGTTTCTTCAGAGACTTGGGCAGGACAATGAGCAACGTATCAGTCTGGGAGCGTTTTAAGTAAATGGAGTTCCATTATGCAACCCCCACCCCCCGCCAGAGGTTCCTTCAAGTGCTAGAATTCCATTAGCCTTATGAAATTGGCCAAAAAGGATAAAGGACAGGATTGTAAGAAGCCTAGCACCCCTGCCAATACTTATTTTGATTTCAAAAAGGTAGAGGGTTGAAGGTCATGTGGAGAGCAGAGCAGGAGAAATGAGACCTTCCAGCCTTTAAAAAGACACCTTTCCAATAAGGAAATGTCTAAGGAGTCCAAGGTTCTTCTCAGAAACCGGAAGGCTGAAATACACAGCACTGCAGCAAATGGTACCAGCCATCTCGGAAAACTCCATTCATGTTTGTGCTTACAATTTTCAAATCCCAAGACCCTTCACTAAATCTTTGTCATTCATTTCCAGACAAAGCTCAGTTGACAAGTTATGTAAGTCTACACACAAGCATTTGGTTAATGAGAGCCAAATGCTTCAATGGGGATTGAACAGAGTACATCCACACAATTAAAAACAGTATTTCAGCCCTGGCCGGTGTGGCTCAGTGGATTGAGTGCTGGCTTGAGAACCAAAGGGTAAATGCCTGGGTTGCAGGTCAGGTCCCCAGTAGGGGGCGCACGAGAGGCAACTACACATTGATGTTTCTCTGCCTCTCTTTCTCCCTCCCTTTCCCTTTCTCTAGAATAAATAAAATCTTTACAACATATATATATATACATATATATCATTAAAAAGAATAAGTACGAACTACCTAAATGTTGACGATGGAAGGATCTCTACACTACATAGGCAAGTGGGAGAAAAAGCAACTCGAAAAATAGTATGCATTAAACAACCCCAGTTTTGTTTTTGGCTTTTAAAATATGAGCACAGAAAACGCAGCAGCCGGCTGTGCCGTTGTGCTGTGTCCGGGGGAGGTGTCCACGGTGAGCCCGGGGCCCACCCGAGCCCGGAGAACCTCCTCCAGGAAGCCCTGGCCACCTCCACCCTGCGCCGTCCACTGCCTTCCTCGTGTGAGGTTCGGAGCGAGCCACCCTCTGTGGCATTTGGGTTCTTTTAAGCCAAAGACAACCGAGACCCTGTGGGCTCAAGGGAAATGCCTGCCTTCCCATAACTGCCTAGAAGAGTTTAAACAAGGAGCCTTGCCCAGAGTAAGAGCTATCACCAGAAATAACATCCGTGACCCATCTACAGGGCAGAGAAAACCCCTGATTACTGAACACCTGCTCTTCCCGCTGCCGCGACCTCCCTCCCCGAGCCCCCCAGGTGCCTCCCTCAGCCTGGGCTCTGGATGCCAGACGGGCCACTTGTCCTTTCTGCCTCCGACCCCTCCTGCAGGCTGGGCGCCCAGATGCGCATGCGTAATTAAATTTGGTCGTTTTCTCTTGTGGACCCGCCTCCTGTGGATTTGAGTGTTAGGCCAGCTGAAAGCACGGTGAAGGGTGGAGGCAAGGGTCTTCCTGCCAGCGCTCACAGTGGCCTCCCGGCGCCGGCACACCCACTGTGCCACACTCCTCCACCAGGAGGGCGCTTCAGGCAGCCCTTCTCCCGCCACCGCACTCGCACGCTGCCCTCTCATCAAGGGGGCACTCGTGTATCAATGTCCAAACCAGTTTTTAAAAACTGCATCCACTAAGCAGAGGAAGGGACACTCACAGGGCCTGCTAGCAACGCCCTCTGTCGCTCCTGAATCAAGCGATCCCAGAGTCAAAGCACCGCTCACCCACGTTTGCCATGGGGAATGAAGAAACCAAACCTTAAGCCAAGGGGAACAGAAACAACCTTTAAAGAAAAACCCATTAACAGGACACATTCCAAAGCCCAAGTGCTGTCTTGGGGGAGGGTGCCTACCTTGGGGAGGACGGCAGGTCCCACGCTCACGACCAGGAGCAGGTCCTACGAGAGAAGAGAGAGACAGGTCAGACGGCAGAGAGGTCGTGGGCAGCAGTTTTCAAAGCGTGTGCATGTGTGAGGAGGGGGCCGGGGGCTCCTGAGACACTTCCAGGGGTCCACGGGGGCAAAGCCACTTCCACAAGGAAGCCGAGACATTACTGACCCATTCCTCTCCTCTCCAGGGGGTGAGTGACAGGTCACAGGACAAAAGACGTGAGGACTGAGTTGCACTCTCTTGAACCAAAGAGAAGAGGGATCTGTGCAAATGCAAGATGTCACTCTCTGCATTCATCTTTGGGGGGGGGGTGGAAGATGGTGATTCTCATAAAGCATGTTCTTTAAAACAAAGTGTAAAGGGGTTGTAGCCATTTAAAATAAATGAATAGTTTTAAACTTCTCGATGTTGACTCTAGTATCATAAATATCAGCAGAGATGAGCCATGTAATCCACAGCTCTTCGGGACCCTCAGTGATTTTTCAGTGTCAAGGGGTGCAAGACCACAACTCCAAGAGCACACACTGTGGTGTGGATTTCAGCAATAACCTCTTCGAAACTGCAGCAGCCCTGCACGCAGCCCGTGCATCCACGCTGGACGCAGCGCTGACCACACCCCAGGGCTCAGCCACACTCTGCACGTGTTATTTCCAAATGCACACACTCCTGAGAACCGCCCTTCCCGCCTCCTGGAAGAGGGGACCGGTCAGCCGCCCACAGAGGCCCAGCCAGGTATACAACGTGGGTGTGAACGCAAGTGCACGGTCTTTCCACGGCATCGCTTTTTAAGACGGCAATCACGTGCATGTCTGCCAACGACTGGGGAGTGGGGAGTGAGGCGTGCAGGGCGCTCCCACGCCTACCTGACGTCGTACGGACGCACGCACGCACGCACGCCGCCGCAAGCTGTGCACGGCGCATCAGAAACGCTGTCGGCGTGCTCCCCCAAATGCTCGCAGAGCCCTGCACTCTGCCTCCTGCGAAGGCAGACCCCATACAGAGGGTGCCCCACAACAGCCCGGTTTACACCCGGGGTCCCAGGGATAAATCACAGGGTCACCTGCCAAGGCGGCCGTCCTTGGCCTGGCTTTGGAAAGCCCACCTTTTCCATCTGTCTCCATCTTTATGAAACACGAAACACTGATGAAGATGCCAATGGTTGGTCCCGCAGCTGTATCTGAGTCTACGATTATGTGCAGGGGTAAGGGAGGGAAAGAGAGTCTCAACAACATAACCTGTGCATCCAATAGAGCCAGTTCTGGACACAAAGATGTAACACATAGTGTGACGAGCTTCTTGAAAAATGAGACACAGAATTACGCTCCAGCAATTCCACTTCGGGGAGTAGACCAAAAAGAACTGAAAGCCCAGTTTTGAACAGATATTTGCACGCCCATGTGCAGAGCAGCATTGTTCACTACAGCTAAACGGTGTAACCAACCCAAGTGTCCATCAACAGCTGGATGAGTAAACAAACTGTGGTACATCCAACAACTGAATAGTTTTCAGGCTTAAAAAGGAAAGACATTCTATCACATGCTACAACACGGATGCGCCCAGAAGTCATTATGCTGAGTGCAATTCGCTGGACACAAGGCGAACACGGCGTGATCCCACTTACAGGAGCCCGAGAGCCGTCGAGCTCATGGGGACAGACAGTGGGCTGGTGGCAGCCGGGGAGAGGGAGCGGGAGTCAGGGTTGGACGGAGACAGACGAGAAAGCTCTACAGGAGGATGCCGGCTGGCGGCCGAGCGGCAAATGGTCAAGATGGGAAAATCTGTAACGTATGTTTTCCCACAATGAAAATAAGAAACTCCAAAATATGTATCCAAAAGGCTTTCCAACACAAAATGATGAGAGAAGAATGTATTACTGGGTCTCTGATGTCCTTTTCATCCGCTTATTAAATCCAACCAAGCGTCCGTCCACTCAGGGAACACCCACCACCTGCTAGTCATCGGCTCCTGCAGGAGCTGCTGGTAGACCCTGTGCACGTAAAAGGGGCCGCATACTAACCTGACGAGCTCAGGGGAGGCCTGCGGTGCAGACTCACAAACTCAGAGAGCAAAGGAACCACAGAGGAGGGTCTGAAATGAGAACTTCCTAAGAGCAGGTCGGTCGTGGTGGGTAGTCATGTCTAGGGCAGTGCTTTTCCCTAAGAAAGGTCAGTCTGCACCTTAACTGAACCTAGAGGTTGTCTTTTTTTTTTTTTTTGCATCTACAATAACATACCTGATAACATGCCTTTGGAAGATCAAAGTAATCCCTTTCATTGCCATAGTTATCGTGTTAATTGTTAACTGTTAACTATGCTATGTTCTCAAACGTAAAAGAAGTATACATCCATTCCTCTTCCTTTTTATCCAGTCCCAGAGGTTTCCCTGCTTTGCCTTCTCTCATCTCCTTAATCTATCACCAATAAATTTCAGGTAACTTCTAATGCTCCCTCCTTTGACTGTACTGTATAAAGTAAGGTGCATAACTGCCAGTCTCTGGGGCATTTTCTCAATCCTTGAGGTTTTGCTTCCTGGCGATTGTCATCAGTTTGGCTGGAATAAACTCATAAAAATTCTTACAGGCTTGGAGATTCTTGAAGCTGACAACCTGAAGGAGACAGACACCTCTGCCGTGGAGCACAGCCCCCAGGGACCCAGACGTGGTGACAGATACACCGGGAAGCAACTGGGGGGCGGCCACGAGGACACATCATCGCACTGTGAGTGATACACAACTCTGGCAAACACAGCATGAACCTGTACAATTTTTTAAACACTCAAGTCCTCTAAAGCATCAACAGTTTTCAAAGTTTTAGAACCCACATTTTCCTCTAAAGGGGCTTTTGGGTTTTCTACCTTTTTTGTGCTGATAAAATATAAACCCCTGACTTTAACACAGAAGAAAGCAAGCCTTTGAAAGGCCCACTGGTCAGACAGCCTGTGCTCCGTGACGGGCCCTGGTCCGCGTCTCCTCTCCGGCAGGTGGTTTTCATGACGCCGAGTCCCACACACAATGAGCAGGACTGGGGAGCTGGCGCTTTTCCTTCCTCCGGCGCGGCAAACATCCTGTACACCGTAGCCGCCCCCTCTTGTCCAGGGCTGCTGTGTGTACTGCCAGGAAAGGAAACCACAGATCCTCCAAGCGGCATCAGGGACCTCAGAAATTTGCTTCACTTCCCACCATGCAGGTAGGTGGTTTACAGGAGACAACGGGCTATTATCTTCTGCCTAGTTTTGGCTTCAGAGAAAAAATGTCATGAGCTTTTAGTGACCAAAGTCGTCTTAAGCAGCAAAGTTTGGGGTCCTGGGCTATGACATTGGGGGGAGCGGAGGAAGATGCCCCCTGCCCCCCGCTCACAGGGGCCACCTCACACTGCAAAGGGAAGCTAGGCTCTGCCCGAGACCCAGACGGGCAGGCAGGCAGGCAGAGGTCTGGCTCCTTGTTCTCCCCAGAAGGCTTGTCGGCTGTCTTCCCGGTGCAACGGGGCCCTGAGAAAGTACAGGCAAGTATTTCCTTTCCACTGAGAAGAATAAAATATTCTATGCAGCTCAAAAGCACATTTCTCCGTCAACTGTCAGGATGCGCTTGCTAGTATTCAGGGAAAGCCAGCATCAGAGAGAGGCTCATTTTTTTGTCACTCTTTTTTTATCTTAAAAGTACAAATTCCTTTCAGAATACTGAGATCTCTTCGGGGGCAAAGTCGTAAGTGCTGATTTCTGCCCTTGCACCTGTGAACTTGGCAATTGCACAAGCCATCCCTGCTTCTGCCCCTGCACCTGTGAACTTGGCAATTGCACAAGCCATCCCTGCTTCTGCCCCTGCTCTGGGCCAGCAACCAGCCACGGTTCCTTCGCCAGCACAGTGGGCCCCGGGGACATCCTAGGCATGGGCGTGAGGCCTTGGGCCGCAGAGCTGGAACCTGCCCCAGACCTCGGCCACTCCAAGGGTACCACCATGCATGCCTCAGAAGACGTTCCTCAGGATATAGAGCACCGAATAAGGAATCGGTGCCACATTTGAATGGCCAGCCACACCCAGAGAGTCTGGGAGCACAGGGGGCTGTGTCTTTCATGTCTGCGCCCGAGACTCCAGGAGACAGGGACCAGGCACCGTTCAGGGCTGCACGCCCAGGACTGACCGCCATGCTCCGCCCACCGTGCCCCGCACTTAGAAAACACCCACTAAATACCCTCTGAAGAAAGGAGGAAGAAGGGAGGGAAGGGGTGTGGGGGGAGAAGGGGAAAGAAGGAAAGGAAAAAGGAGGGAAGAGGAAAGGAAAGGAAGACTGGCTTTCCAGAGTCTTAAGGCCGCTGAGAATAGCACAGAACACAGGCATTTCTAAATGGGAATTTGCAGAGAAGAGGCTGGACCATATGAAATTACCCATATTCCGCAACTTTGTACCTGGAAAAAGCAGGAATTTCATGAGATTCAACCTAATGGACAACCCTCCTCAGTGAGCTTACCTATCCATGCCCACCTCTGCCGTCAATCACTTGCTTTGGTACTAGGCTAGTCTTACCCATCTCTGTGCCCAGCCAGCCAACTGCCACCGCGTGCGTGACCCACCTGCCACCCAAACCTCCCCTCCGCCCTCGGCCAACAGCCCCGATCTTCCTCTCTTGCCTTGTTCTGCTGCCTGGGCCCCAGCTGCTAAGCACGCCTTTCCACACCCCGCCTTCTGGCTCAGAGGAGGGACTCGCCCCGCCCTCAGTGCGGTGCCGACCACGGCCGCTGTGGGCACACCTCAGTGACTAGTTCAAGGACGTGAACAGGCACTTCCGTGTTCTCAAGGACACACCTGGGATCCTGGGAGAGAGAAATTTGGCTTCTACTGAGGGCACTGAGTGCAGTGGGGGTGGGGACAGCTGCTGGGAAGCACAGGGAAGCACGGGAAATGGGCTGAAGTGACGCACTCAGCAACGCAGCACAGGCAAAGCCAAGACACAGAGCCAGGAAGAGCCCCCAGGACCGTGGGTGTGTGAGCCCCTGGCTCCGGCAGTGACCGAA